AAAAAAAAAAATTTTTTGTACACTGATTTTCATGTTATTACTTTATGAATAAATCATTTTTAATTACTGTGAGTTTATTTATATTTATTCAGTTTCTATTCTTTATTAGATATCTAATTTTAATTATTTATATTAATTTATTCTCTTTGATAACATTTACAAAATGATTATTTATATATAATACAATTTAATTACATTATTTTAATTTTATTCACATGGTAGTTAGGATATGTTCCTAACTTTCAAGATCCAGCTTGACTTTTTAAAGATGATTGGTAAATACGGTAGTCTAAATTTAAACTTTTTCCAAATTGGAAGATTTTATAGCATGTATTTGACAATAATTCATGATTAATGCTGGTGCCCTTTCTTCTGTGATCCTGCATGGGATTAAAGTGTCTTCATTCCGGTTAGTGTCTATTGCGTGTTACTGTCATATCTGTGGTGTTCTCGAGAGTTCTGGGAATCCAATCAGACATTTTTCTTGCTGTTTTTCATATCTGAAGGAAAAAACAAGACACTCTGACACTGTTTATCTGTCTTCTTCACTGTTTATATAATGTCAAGAATGGAAATAATTTTTTATAACAATCTTGAAATTATGACTTGATATGTTTGTTAGCTTTTATTTTAAAAGAAAGATATAAAGTATTTTAGTTAAAAGTATGATGATGATAGATATGAATTTTTAAATATTTCTTGGAAAATTCTGAAATGTTTTCTAGAACAGGTTGAATATATATTGTTTGTACAGTATTTATGTTTATGTGTTTGTTGAATAATGGGTAAAGTAGCTTTAAAACATCAGATAAGCAAACCGATATAATTTATTTTTAAATGAAATGTATTGATTACTTATAATAATTAATCTGTAGTTAAATGCTTACATACACTATATGCATATTGTATATAAATTGTGCGAGTGTGTTTGTTTTATATATGAAAATACAGCTTTCAAATGATTAGTTTTTAAAAACAAAAAAAGTTATGTCAAAAAATACACAGCTCAGCTATTGAAGATAAGACAAATTGATAATATGATTAAATTATCTTGGAACATCTTATACATCTTTTTATATATGTATTAAAGTTTAACTAAGAGTTTTGTCTTATAAGTTTGGTCTTTTTTTTAGAAGACTTTATCATTTTAAAAGCTGTAGACTGAATAGTATTATAAAAGAAGCTAACTTTGCAATTCAGTGTTTTGGAGCAGGGATCTATAACTCCTCCTCCAACTCCAACAACACATTTAATTTTTAAGTGAAATTGTTTGAGGTAGGAATATATTATTCATACCATTTTATTATGTTAATTTATTTATGATCTGTTTCAATTGCTTTATGTAAATTTTTCTTGTCATACTGATGTTGGTTTTGTGCGTTGTGTGTTTATACAATCCAGTTTTGGAAAGACTGAAATAGATCTTTTGATCACATATAACAGTTTGTAATTTTAGAATTATTCTAAAAATGAGGCCTTTGGCTTTTCTGAGGTTTCATATTCCTTAAACAATTGCTACATGCTATATTTATTATTATTTAGATTTATTCTGTTTGATTTAAGTTGTATTTATGAATGTAAACAAAATTTTACCACTCTGCAAAAATATAATGGATATAGATGTAGTAAATGATTTTAGCTTGCTTTTACAGTTTATTATATCTTGATTACAGTGAACTTTCATTGTTGTTTGCTGTTGAAAGTTCATTATATCGGATGATCACTAGAATTCTTTTAAAAACAAAGCTTACTAGGAAAAGTGACCTGTAACATCAGTACTAAATCTATTCATTCATCTAACATTTACTTTAGAAAAAACTTACTTTGGAATTTTTGAAAAATCTTACAACATTGGATCTATATTGGATATATGTAGTCAATTTTTGTGTTTATTAAATTGTTTCCACTTTGATCCCTCAGCTTTTGTGCCCATCATTGGTCTGATAAGCCCTCACTATTATCTGCCTCATGGTTGTTGATAATTTAATTAATATATATTAGGTATAGTTTAGATAGCTTGCAAAAATAAAGTGGCTTGAACAACATATTTGAGGATTTTAAAGTGTATAAAATAGATGTAGTACAAAGTTTTCTCTTTGTAGCATTAGTAAATATATATAAAATGTAAAGAAAGCTTAGAAACTTTGTACACATTTTTGGAATAAAAATTCTAACTATTTTTCATTGCATCATAAATTTTCACAATTCACTTGAACCGAATTCCTCTGTTTTCCTAGAAAATTTGCCAAGAATGTATTTATTACAAAATGTTATTTTAAAATATTTTTGTTCTTATTTCATGCTAGATATAGATTATTTCATAATTATTATAATGTTATGTAAATAAAAAAAAAGTTTATATTTTCTTTTATTTACTACGTACGATTCCAGTAATAAATATCGTTTAAATTTAAATTTCTTGTTTTATTAATCAGTTTAATTTTTTAGATTTATTCAGATATGATTCTGTTTTATTGTAATTTAAGAATGTTATTGAATGGGATTTATTTTTAGATGCTTAAATCTATTTATAGAATGTTTGTAGAATTTACAAATCATTGTTTTTTGTTATATAATGTTATAATAAAGATAAATTTTCAGTCTTTTTGGATCATAATTGGTAGGAAAAGAATTAAAAGATAAATAAAGTAAAAATATTAATTTTAAATTCTAATATAATGGTAAAAACAGCTATAAAATTGAAAAAAACTTTATACTTGCTATATGATCTATGTATGTATGTCTCTTTAATCCGACGTTAAGTTCGGTAGACTATCATAACAGCTGTAATGATAGTCTACCGAACTTAACGTTGGATTAAAGAGACATACATACATAGAACATAATAACAGCTATCCAAAAGTAATATTTAGAAGAATATTGCTATATGACATTTTAATAATATATTTTATAATTGCAGCATCAGAATATGGAGAAGTCCAGTCTGTAACAGTTACTAATTGTGATGCATCACCTTGCATCTTGAAAGTTAACACTAAACCAGAAATCTCCATAACTTTTAAATCACGTAAGTATTAGAATTTTTATTTTATCAATTATCTAAGCTAGTTAACCACATGACTGAAATGGCATAGTTTTGTTGCTTTTGGGAATGCTGCTTTGAGTTTTTATTGAAGTCTCGGCAGCTTTTTCGCAGATAGTTTTGATTCAGATTTGTCAATCATTTTCTTTTAGCTATTCTCCCTTGCTGGTGTGCTGAATTTTTTGATGCCCAGAATAAAAACTGTATAAAACAAAGAACTTATGCAAAGGTTATATTTGATATTTTATAAGGAAAATACAAGAAGAAATAAAATATACAATTTTTATATTCATTTTATTTTATATACAGTACAGCGTCATTTATCCGAATCAATTGGGGACCGGGCTTGTTCGGATAACTTATTTTTCGGATAACCGATTATGTACGAAAAAATATTACTCACAAAGAAAGGATAAATAGAGAATTTTGTATAGAAGACACTATATAGAATACAGAAAATAAAATGAACAAAGACTACTAAATAGAATGCTTTCCTTAAATAAGCAATGAGTTTAATTTTTGATTTTAATTTTCCATCTGACGCACACTGTCCTATGGACACTAAGAGAGCCTTTTTAGCAAGCCCTTTATGGGTTTAGCTAGGCTCACAATGGGTTAGCTAGGTGATGAGGGAGGGAGCCTAACATATCCAGATTGATCGCCTCCCTGAAAAAATTCCGGGTTTCTTGACCCGCCTAGATTCAATTTCAGGTTCCCAGAGCAGTAGGTTTCCACCTTAACAGTTTGGCTGCTATGCTAAGCTATAAAAGATTTTTGATAATCACATCAAAACCTAATAATACTTAGCTTAACAGCTTTAAAAAAATTTACTATTTTTTAATAATAATGAGAATAAAAGTGTTATAGTTTTAGAAAAATGGAGAAAAAATAAACATAGTTTAAAAGTCATTTTGAAATAAAAGTATAGAACAAGCAATGTCAAACCTTTTTTTTTGAAGCGGGTTCAAAATTGAATTTGAAATTTAATAATACCAAATTGTAGGTCAAATATTTAATTTAAGTAACTTAAAGTAAAATTTGTAAGTATTTTTTATTTAACTTTTTAAATTTATATCAGAAAAATAACTCATATAGATACAGTAATAGTTTTTTATATAAAGACACTATTATAGTCGTCTGTATTTACTCCGTTACACTTATATAATGTGATTATAACAGAAAAATATTTTGCTTTGTCTTTTGCAATTAGCGACCATTCTCCTGTTGTCTCTCATTAGTCTTGTCAAGAGCTTTCTTTCTTTCTACATCATTCTTTCTATGGCTTCTCAGCCCTCCAGGTTAAAAACTTGGCTTATTATAGCTATAAATCACCTCATTAACTTTATTTTATTTCCAGTAATATCTTAAAAACAATGAATGTTTTCCAACAGCTTGACTGTAGCTGCCTTTAGATCAGGGATGGGCAACCCATGGCCTGCAGTAATATATTTTGCAGCCCGCGTAAAATAGGAATGAATATATCAATTTCCCAGCTTAATTAAGGAAGTATGCAGCAAAAATTCAAATGTTATTTTCTACAACTTATATATGTGAATAGTTTTTCCACAATGAATTTAGTAAAAATTAAAACAAAAAACTGGTTAACAGACACATCAAAACTAATTTAAAGCTATCAGTGACTAATATTTAACCAGATATTTCCATATATTACATTTACATCAATTCCAGAAACTAAAATAAGAATACCTGTGCTAATTTATAATTATACATGAATAATTGTGATTTACCGACCATTTTTTTCCCTCTTTTCTTTTGTATGAGGCCCGTGTGAGTTCAAAAATTTTGAAATGCGGCCCCTACATAGGAAAAGGTTTCCCATCCCTGCTTTAGATTGTTAGTTAGGAGGGCATTTATCAATTGCACCAGTATGAAGGATACGATTATAGAACTTAGGCAGATAAAGAGAATAACAATAGCACATGGGTACTCGATAAAACTTATAAAATGATTAGCACAAAATTGTATATACAACAAGATATCACCCCAAGGCAGAAAACATACCCCAACTGAGTCTAAAAACATAGTGGTTAGAATATGACAAGAAGCTTAAATCAATATACAAAGAAGTTACATGCAATGGAAGAAAGGAGATGGCCTACAAAAGAGGCAGTACTATATATCAAATGCTGCTAAATGATAAGGATATCATAGATAGCACCAGAGCTCCTGGAGTTTATACGAAACCAGTAAAAGATGATAGATTTGACAAAGATTTAATTTAAATTAGAGCCACAAATAGATCTCTTAGAAGCAGGATTAAAGAACACAAATATGATATAGAAAAAGAAAAACAAACAACAATGCTATCCATATATGTCTCGGAGCTAGGAATTGAAGCTAAATTGGTGCAAGTAACACTGATTAAAAAGTGTTTTTCTAAAGAAGAAACTAAATTTTTAGAGATTTTAGAAATACATAAGACAGCCTTGATGAGAGAGTGTATTAACATACGAGATGAGGAATCATTATCATATGCTTGGAAAACTTTTTATGATAACCCCGACAAAAGATTATTATAATAACTTCAATTAACCCATAGGATGTTAATATAAAAATTAAATAAAGTACATTAGTTGTAAAATTTAATTAGGTAAATTTAAATTTGTAAATGTAAAAATATTTGAAATTTGATGCAATGCTGGGTATATTTTAACAGTTCAAACATCTAGTCAATATTTTGTTTAATGGGAAATCTTCCACTGGGATTTATTATAATTCTCACTTTTATATTTTATATATGTATTTTTGTGCAATGCAAGAACATTTTTAAATAATTTTAAAAATATTTTTTATAGATATTGACAGCAAAGATTTGAAGGTCAGAATTTATGGTGTCATTGGTGGTGTTCCTTTACCATTTCCTGGTCCTCAGGGAAGTGCATGTGAAGGTTCTGGAATTACTTGTCCTTTAAAGAAAGATGAAGTCTACACTTACAGAAATTCCATTGATGTTAAGGACAGCTATCCAAGGGTAAAAATTATTAATATTTTTAAATATTTGATTAATTTTATTACAGTTTAGCATTTATAAAAATTTATACTATTGATGCCAAACTTAGAATAAGAATAATAACAAAATATATCATGTAATTTAAAGTCCTACAAAAAGGTACTTCCAATATTTCAAAATTTTAACTTCATGCTGAGTGTATAGTACATAATATTTGAACTAAGGATACCAAAGAAGCATTATGTCAATTATAATTATATACAAAAGAAATGTAAATATCTTAATGAAACATTAAATAGTATATAACTGAAAAGAATTGAATGGTGTGTAAGAGAATGGTAAAATTAATATTACGCTAATGAATTTTGTTATAAATTACAGATAATATTGTTCCATTATGTTTAAATTGAGTAAATCTTGTCACAATATTGTAAGAAATAGGAATTAATACTGTTTTTTAGGTATCCAAATCTTTTATTATGATGCTTCTTATTACATATAAAAAGCATTGTAATAAATTAAATAACTAAACTTCAGCAAACATGTTAGTTTGTATGGAGAACAAACATTTTTTGTGGTCTAACCCACCATTGTCAGGTTATATTCACTTTTTTGAACTTCGAACAACACATATTCAATGTTTTCTTTCTTTCAAAATTTAGAACATCATGTGCGTTCAGTGCCAGATTTACCTATAGGCTGACTAGGCCATATTCTAGGGCCCCAAAACTATCAGTCTGTTTTCAACTTTTATAAACTTTTAATAAGAAAAAATAAGAGCCGCTTCTTTTAAAAAATCTTTAAAATAAAACATTTTTTTGTGTCACACGAGAAATGTTTTATTTTAAATATTGTAAATCATGTGCCGAGACACAAGTTGTGTTTCGGCACTCGATTTTATTGAATGTGTGTGACTGAGTGTCTTTCATGTGATGCCCAGGAAGGAAATCCGATTTACCAGTATGTAGTTTTTGAGAAATATTACTGAAAATAATTGGTTTTAAATCACAAATAATTATGTCCATAAGGTCTCTGTTACTAGAACAATATAGAGATCTAAAAGTAGACGCAGCAAAGTTGAAAATCCGTTAAGACGTCCAATTTTGAACATCTGATTTTAGATTTTTTGGATATTTTTTGGAAACTAAAGCTGGTTTGAACTTTGCCAATTGTAGATCTCAGTCATATGATAATGCAATGAATATGGTTGGAAAATATAAAGGTATGCGGACAGAAATTTTGAAAAAGAACAGTAAGGTGAGTTTTTTACCATGCACTAGATGCTCACTGAATCTGGTTGGTACTTCTGATGCTGAATGTTGTATATATAGAATCAATCAACTATTTTGGAATAGCTGAACAAATTTTCAATTTTTTTTTATCATTCACCAAAAGATGGTGTGTAATTGAAAAAAAATTTCAACCAATCAATAAAAAATTAAAGACTAGATGGAGTGCTCGAGCATATTCAATTAAAGTAATATGTCATAATTATGGAAGTTTATTGGATGTTTAAGAATTATTGTAGAGAATGAAAGTTTTGATGGAACCTCGAGCAGACACACAAAATTTACAGTCAAAAAATGGAAATTGCAAACGGTTTTTTGGGATACAATACTAGAAAGAATTAATGCAGTTTCAAGTCCTTGCAAGATTCGAAAATTATGGCTAGACACATGTTCCTTTTTGTATTCATATCTTGGCAAGTTCCTAATGAGTTTGAATGATCAGTTTGATGCAATCGATGCAGAAGCTAACAATTATTGCCTGATACTAATTCTACAAAACTGAAACAACAAACTAAAAAAAGAATTCCAGGTGAACCTCAATCAAATGAAAAAGTCCCAATGAAAACTTTAAAAATAATGTTTATCTGAAAACATTATTTTTAAAGTGAACTCCTAAGCAGGAAGAATTCTTTGGAATGCAGTGATTTTTTCTTTCTTTCTTTTGTGTTAAAAAAAAAAAAAAAAGTTTTAAAATGGAAACCTGCCAAATCAGAAAAAATATATAGTACTATGTGGGTCTGGTTTACACAGGTGTTACTGTACTGCCCCTTTAACAGACTCTTGGAGGTGCTAGTGTAATGGTCTTGACCATTATACTAGCACCTCCAAGAGCACTTAAGCTCCATTAAGAAAAGGAAATTACCATTGCTCTCTTCACCCTAGCATTAGAAACAGAAGTCCATATCCATCTGCATCAAGCAAAGCTGTTACACCTGACAACAGAAAAATCATATATTTGGTATCTAGAAAAAATTGAATATTTTAAAGCATCCAAAGATGGTTCTGCCATCAAGTACAAAGATAGGAACTCCCGGAGAGCCTTGTTAGTGCTCCTGTATGCTGGATTTCTATGGCTACAACTGACCAATTGGTGACAAACATTTACTATGTTAATATTTTCAAAGCATGTGATGTTTTCTTTCCTTCAAAATTTGGATGATTTGATTGAGAAGTTTGAAGTTTGTAAAAGCGAAAACATAACCTGATGATGGTGGTTTAGACCACCAAAAACATTTGTTCTTCATACAAACTAACAGATACTGCTGGAGTTTAGAAGTTTATTACTATTATATCCTGTCATAGAGAGGTGTTAAATATAAGAAGCATCGTTAGCCTGTTTTTAATTTTGGAAAATAGTCAGGAAAATTTTTTGCAAATTTGAGTGACTGAGACATCTTAGTGATGCAGGAGAAACATTGCACAGGATGAATGTCTTTAAAGACTGCTAAATTTGTAACCTGTCCTTGATAAACCACATTTTTTATGTCTCCTCAACTGAAATCCATATGGGCTCATTTATTGAAACAAACCAATACAATGAAATTACAAAGTAAACAGAAACAGCAATGTTAAGAAATAAAAATACAAAACTGTTTTGGGAGAAAAAGTCACCCTGGACATTCAGACATGCAGCCCACGGCTGCACCAAACATCAAATATTATCTGAAAGGAAGGATCATGGTTGCTTCTTGAACTATTCCAGTACTGCAACCCTGATTTGATTGTTGTGGAAGCATTTTCGATTCAGAAATATCTTGAGAGGCACAAACAAATGAGTCACAAGATCAGGGCTATAGGATAGGTGGTGAAGAACCTCTCACTGTTTCTTCACTAATGCCTCTTGCACAATCCTCACAACATGCAGATGCACATTGTCATGAAGAATGACGATATCAGACAACAACACGCTGGGATGCTTCCTCCTGATGGCTTGATGCAAGTTGTCCAGCGTTTGAGTGTAGTTCTGATCATTAATTAACTGTATTGTCAGGGCTCTTAAAACTCCAGCAATTGTGGTCTTATGTAGTCAAAAAATTCCATCAGCATCACCTTGCATGCAGAAGGGTGTGTCTTAAATTTCTTCGGTATTCGTGAGGTGGCATGTTTCCATTGCATACTGGACACTTTGCTGGACAGTTCAAAATGGTAGCACCATGTTTTGTCACCAGTCACTATGCTCAGTAGCAAGTTATTACCATATTCCTCATACCAGCAGGTGTTGTAGACACAAACACAGGCTGTTCCTTATGATATGCAATCAGTATTTGTGGAACTCATTGCAAACAGACTTTTTTCTACAATTTGTTCTTCACAATGTTATAAACTGAGCCAAATGACACACCAAACTCTGTGGCAAGTGAACATAAGCCTCTCTGCTAATCCTCCCATACAATTTTGTAAATATTGGCAATGAACTTATCAGTTGTGATAATATGTTCTTGCTCAGGCTATGAAATGTGTGCCATTTGCTGATGTGCTGTCCAAAGCATGCATGCATATCCAATCCTTCACTGTTGTCTTCAATACAGATTTCTCACTATACACAGCATGTATGTGTCAATAAATTTTATTTGGCTGATAGCCTTCCACTGTCAAAAATTGAATTACAGCATGTTGATCCATTTTTGATGGATTTGAAATCACTACCATATTTGCTCAGCACCTGAACAATCAAACGATACATGCCAACAGTGTCTTCTGCCAGAGTATCCTGGTATATAATTGCCTCTTTTCTCATCTACCACTGCTGATTGATAAGTGTGCAGTGGAGCAAGCAGTGGAATCTGGACAAGTTTCAGTTGATCACACCTCATAGATGGATTAAAATTTGTAGTGCCAAAATCTCTTAGTGATAAGTTTTGGTATTAATTATCTTTTTATGGAAATGTTTTCTGCATATCAGATTGAAACCATATTAAATTTAATAGCAATTGAACTACTAAATATTTCTCTAGACAGCATTGAATAGGTGTATTTTAATTACAATCATTTAGTATATCAAGTTATAAATAATTATATATATTTTATTACATATGTCAACTGAACTTGAAAGAAGGCAAATTCTTTGTTCTCAAATGCAAATTACAAGGTACAGCAAAAACGATTTGTTTTTTGATTCAACACAATATATGATATAAAACATTACAGTAATATATAGAAATAGAACTATATACAATTAAGATAAATGAAACTTAGTCAAAACTTAGACTTCTATTGAGAGTGAATAGTGATGTCAAAGTAATATGTCCAATTTATTGTTAACTATTAAACTGTTGCTAGTAGTGAAATGATGTAGTAGCAGCTGACTGATTCATAATGGATTTTTATGTTAGTAGGTTTGTTCCTGAAAGCTTTAAATATCGTGTATATTTAGTGGAGTCTATTGTCATCTTTACACAAATGCAAGATGTACTAGAACACTAGATTCTTGCTAATTCTTTGCACACAGGGGTGCCAGATTAGTAAGTGTGTCTGTACCAGAGTATTAGCAGAAACCTGCATAAAGTTAATGAATGGTGTGAACCATCACGGTTTGTAACTGATTTCTCTTTGCTATATTTGCTTGCCTGTTTACAATCTTATATGAAATACTGTACACAGAAATGAAATCTGAGTAAACATGTAATCAGGATGTATGAGATGACTAACATTTTCATAGAAATGGAAGTACTGTATACAGGCTATCACACTTGGGTATACCAAATAATTGAGAGGGAAAATTATTAAGGGCAA